AATTGGTCTTTGCCTGGAGGAGCATTTGGACAATATCATTGGTACAATGTGTCTGAGTTAGCTTGTCCTCATCCTTTTGGATATAGAAGTCTTGCCATTGGCTGGAAGTTATTGATGGGAGGGTCACTGCTTGTTTGTGACTCCACATAAATGGATTTAATCAGAAGTAGTGTGCCAAACTAAGAATCTTACCACTTTTGACCAAGACCTTTCTATGGAAAAACAGGAGTGTACAAGTGTGTGTTGTTGTTTTGCCCAAAGTGCAACTGGCACATCCTGTCCCCTTATTTACCCCATTATGACCTTACAAATACACACACTATTGTAATTATCACATTACAGGACTTTAGTGACTTGCAGCTTATTTAGAATGCAGCAGCATATATATTTAGGAATAATGTACATTTATTGCGACATTGTTTAAGTGCTTGACGGTGATCCTCTTCTGAAAATCTAACTTTAGATAAGATTCAAGAGGTGGCAATAACAAACAAAGGAAGGGAGGCTTAAGAGGAGGAGAGCATGGGTTTGAATATAAGATGATGCAGTTTCTTGTGTATGTGTACACAGAATCATAGAAATGTAGGGCTGGAAGGGATCTCAAGAAGTTTTCAACTTCAGCCCCCTGCACTGTGGCAGGATCAAGTAAACCTAAATCATTCCTGACAGGTGTTTGTCCAACTTGTTCTTAAAAACCTCCAATGTTGGGAATTTCACAACCTCCCTTGGAAACCTATTCTGGATCTTAACTACCCTTACAGTTAACAAGTTTTTTTCTGATATCTAACCTAAATTTCCTTTGCTGCAGATTAAGCCTATTACTATTTATCCTACCTTCAGTGGAGATGGAAAACAGTTGATCACCATGCTCATTAGAACAGCCCTTAACATATTGGAAGACGTATCAGGTCCCGCCTCAGTCTTTTTTTTGTCAAGACTGGCAGTTGTTGGTTTTTTAACCTTTCCTCACAGGTCAGGTTTTCTAAACCTTCTATCACTTTTGTTGTTCTCTTCTGGACTCTCCAGTTTTCATCTTTCCTAAAGTGTGTGTCCAGAATTTGACACAGTACTCCAGCTGAGACCTCACCACTGCTGAGTAGAGCGAGAAAATTACTTCCCCCGTCTTACAAATGATACTGCTGTTAATACACCCGAGAATATTAGCTTTGCTTGCATCTGGATCTCAGTGTTGACTTATTTTCAATTTGTGATCCACTATAACCCCCAGATCCTTTTCAGCAGTACTACCACTTTAACCAGTTATTCCCCAGTTTGTAATTGTGCATTTGATTTTTCCTTCCTAAGAGAAGTACTTTGCATTTGTCTTTACTGAATTTCATCATCTTCAATTCAGACCAATTCTCTAATTTGTCAAGGTCATTTTGAATTATAAACCTGTCCTCCCAAGCACTTGTAACCCATCCCAGCTTGGTATCATCTGCAAACTTTAAGCACACTCTCCACTCCATTATCTAAATCATGAATGAAAATATTGTATAGTACTGGACCCAGGACTGACCCCTGTTGCACCCCACTCGATGTGCTCTCCCAGTTTGACAGTGAACCAGTGATAACTACACTTTCAGTATGGTTTTTCAACCAATTGTGCACCCCCCTTATAATAATTTCATCTAGACCGCATTTCCCTAGTTTGCTTATGAGATCGTCATGTGGGACTGTGTCAAAAGCCTTGCTAAAATATATAATTGCTAAAACTTCCTCCTAATCCATTAGGCCAGTAATCTTGTCAAAGAATGAAATTAGGTTGCATTAGCATGACCTGGATTTGTCCAGAGCGTGCTGGCTATTCCTTATAATCCTATTACCTTTTAGGTGCTTACAAATTGATTGTTGAATTATTTGTTCATTTGTATTGAAGTTAGGCTGACTGGTCTATAATTCCCCGAGTCCTCTTTGTTCCCCTTTTCAAACATAGGTACTCTGTTTGCCCTTCTCCAGACTTGTGGAACCTCACCTGTTGCCCATGAGTTCTCAGAGACAATTGCTTCATCTAGCTCCTTAAGTATGCTAGGATTAATTGCAACAGGCCCTGCTGACTTGAACACATCTAACTTATTTAGATATTCTTTAACCTGTTCTTTCTCTATTTCCATATGTATTCCTTCCCCCTTCTTATTCATATTACTTATGTTGAATATCTGGTCGTCACTAACCATTTTAGTGAAGACTGAAACAAAATAGATATTATGCTCCTTAGCTTTCTTAATGTCATCAGTTATTAGTTCTCTTTTTCTGCTAAGTAGAGGGCCTATTCTTTCCTTCATCTTTCTCTTGCTCCTAATGTATTTACAGAACATCTTCTTATTGCCTTCTTTGTCCCGTGCTATGTGTAACTCATTTTGTGCCTTAGTCTTTCTGATTTTGTTCCTACATGGCTTGTTATTCTTTTGTACTCCTTAGCAGTTTGCCCATGTTTCCACTTTTTATAGGATTCTTTTCTGAATTTCTGGTCATTACAGAGCTCCTGCAGCCATATTGGCCTCTTAATATTCCTATCTTTCTTTCATATTGGGATAGATTTCAGTTGTGCTGTTAATATGGTCGTCTTGAGACACTTTCAGCTCTCCTGAACTTTTCCCCTTAGATTTTCTTCCCATGGCACCTTATCTACCAGTTCTGAGTTTAAGTCTGTTTTTTTTTTTATATAAATCCATTTTCCTTATTCTGCTGCTCTCACTACTTCCTTTCCTTAGACTCATGAAATCTATCATTTCATGATCACTTTGACCCAAATTGCTTTCCACCTTCAGATTTGCTACCAATTCCTTCCTGTTGGTCAGAATCAAGTCTAATATGGCTGCTCCCCTGGTTACTTCCTCCACTTTCTGGAACAATGTATTTCTGGTCATTAGAGTCCCCCCAGTACAACCAGGTCTCATGTTTTGGATATTTATTACTCCTGGAGGAATTCTTTACCAAAAAAATTAAAAATTCTGCACACAATATTTGAAAATTCTGCGCATTTTATTTGTCATAATAACACAATATAATCATGCCAGTTACAATTAAGCATGTTGGGTGTGGATGGGAGGGTTTTTTTGGGGGGGGTGGGTGGGATTATTAGAGTTTTGGGAAGCCTCCCCCATGTGGACCCTGGCTGACCCCCAAGCCTCTCCCATTCAGTTAACCCCTGTCCCACAGCCCTTATCCCCATGGGTCTCTGCAGCCCCCCTCCTCCATCCCCAGGCTCAATGCTGTCACCCCACTAGCTCCTGAACCCATGCTCCAGTCTGTACCCCCACACTAGCCCTTCTGAACCCCAGTCTGAGACACCTTCCTCTCCCCACCAGCAGCTCTGGGTGCTCCACTCTGTCCTCACCTGGCTCCGCGGGCAGGGTGCTGTGTTGAACTTCTACACCTGGGGGAGTTCTGCAGCACTGGGCATAGAATTTTGTATTTTCCCGCATAAAATATATTTTGCCTAAGAAGTGCTGCAGTTCTGCCTTTTGCCCACCACGGGCCGCTGTGGCACTAGAACAGCTGGCAGGAATGCAGCCCGCTGTTCTGGCACCACAGTGGCCTCTGATGGACAAAAGGCAGAACTGCAGCACTACTTAGGCAAAATTTATTTGTTTTAGAAATGTCTCCTCCACCCCCTCTTCCTGATTTGGTGGTCTGTAGTAGACCCCTATCATGATGTGCCCTATTTTTGCCCCTTTTATCTTTACCCAGAAACTCACAACTGGTCTGTCTCTCACCTCTTTCTGAATAAGTATATATATTCTTGATGTATAATGCAACACCATGGTTCTTTTTACCCTGCCTGTCCTTCCTGAACAAGCTGTACCCCCGTATACCAGTCATGAGGCTTATCCCACCAAGTCTGTGATGCCAATTATCATAATTTAGCTTTTGTACTGATACTTCTGGTTCTTCCTGTTTGTTGCCCATACTCCTTGCATTGTGTGTAGACTTCTAAGATGTTGATCAGAGTCTCTCTTGTTACTCCTATGACCGTATAGTAATTTTCCATACCCCCCCCCCAATCTAATCCTCTTTTAAGGTCACTTTTCTTTATACTTATTTCTGGGCTTTTGTCACCAGTTCCCTTTAAACCTAGTTTAAAGTTCTCCTCACCAGGTTGGTGGTCATTTTGGTCAAATGATCTTTTTAAAAAGATCATGTTTGTTTCCAAACTAGTATCTTTGAAGGGCTGTCTCTGAGAATGGAGCTGATGTATGAGTGTGCAGCAGGGATCTAGGAATGGTGGGACCTGGCATGTAAATGGGGAAGGGGAAGGGGGCCGGAGGAAGAACCCAGGCATGATGGGGTAGGGCAGGCCGGCCAGCCAGCCAGGTTAGCAACATGAGAGCAGGTACAGTAAACCACATGGTAATCAAATCAATTGGTGGTTCAAGTCAGTTTGGTGGAGTATTGCAGTGTCTACTTCAGAAGAACTGAAGTATTCATTTGTAATGACATATTGCTCTGGCTTTGAGGAATGCTAGGGTCTTCAGAAGTCTGCCTCAGGAAGCTGGTATGGGGGAGACAAGTGGGGGTCTTTTGATGGTGCTTTTGGTGTCCTGTGCAGCAGCCCATAGCAGGGGAAGCTGGTCAGGCTCTGAACTCCTCATGTTGTCTGATGGGATTCACTTCAGCAAGACAGGTCTTGGCTCTAGGCTCTTTAAGTTGATCGTTTAATGATGCATTATACATAAAAACAAGGTGATGACAGCTGTAGAAGTTCAGGAAATTGCATTGCTCTTCTGCTTGAAGCTTTCCCATAATAAAAAGCTAATACAAATAGACATTAGGAGGAGTTGTAGACTTACGCTGGAAGATGAGAAATCAATGGCCATTTTTGTTTGTTGTTTTTAACTCAAGACGCAACAGTAGGCATGTACATTTTTTAAAGCTGACTGATCAAACTTGCCCATTTTCCTAAGAAAGCTGTCAGTGCCATGCTATTTGTAGTAGTGTCTTCATCTAGACGAAATAAATGTTGCATTTTTGTTACACATTTTAAAATCTTATTCTAGGTACTGGAATACCTGAATGACCTAAAGCAGTACTGGAAGAGAGGATATGGGTATGATATCAACAGTCGTTCCAGCTGTATTTTATTTCAAGATATCTTCAAACACTTGGACAAAGCCATTGCAGAGAGTAAAAGGTAAAAAAGCTTTTATTTTATTTTTTAAACTTTCAACTTTCTGCACTTTGGTCATAACTCGTACGCGGCCCTAAAGGGATAGACCTGAAGGAGATTAATGCTAAGAACTTGGATAATGGCTCAAGAATTAAATAATGTTTGGGCTTGGTTAGCATCCTTTAAGGGACTGATTCTCTCATATGTAATAAGGCAATATTAATTCATCATGCTGCATCCTGTTTAGCCGTATCAATATCTATGAATGGAGTTTCATCCAAAAATATTCATAAGATATGGAGGAGTTTTTCACCTTGTTTTATGACCTGCTTTCTCCTCCTACACACATAGCTCAACGGCTTTAACTCAAACTTTTAAAATTATTTATTTTCTTATCTGAGAGAGAGCGTTGCAAGTTATGGCCCACAGGGAAAACTTTTGAAGAAGTTATGGTGTTTAGCACACTATTTTTTGTGTTGTAATAATTTCATTGAAAAGGAGAAAAGTACTTCTTCACATTTTTATTTTTATTATCATAACCCCTAGGAGCCCTAATCATGGACCAAGCCCCATTTTGCTAGATGCTTCTTGCCCCAAGGAGCTTAGTCTAAAGACGATCCCTGTTTGTTGGGTTAACAAAAGCCTGTGTTCTATTTTTTATTTTTTTAAATGTTATTGAATCATTTAAGACTTAAGTGATGAGCCAGCAGCCAAGTCTGAAAGAAATTAATCATTTTGATTTAGATAGTGTTGATGTTCTGTTCCAGCTCATTAAGAACAGCATAATTTTAAGAGATGTCAGGTTAAAATCATTAACAACAAGGACATCTGTTTATTTTTTTTAAAAGTTAAACTGAAAATGTAGAATTTAACTTACTTCTTACCAGTAATATATCAGATTGGATACTAAAGGTAGGTTTGTTCAGATACGCGTGTATTTTCCTAGTTGTGTTTACTCTGATTCTCCTGCTACTGGAGGGAGATGACTCTCTCTTTTTTTTCATTATTCTAGACCAGTGGTTTTCAACCTGTGGTCCACGGACCCCTGAGGATCCACAGAGTATGTCTAAGATTTCCCAAGGTGTACACACCTCTATTTGAAATATTTTAGGGATTGCCAAATAAAAAAGATTGAAAATGACTGTTCTAGACCAATTCAGATACTTGAGTATAGTTCCTCCCTCTTTGGAGTAAGAGCATTGGAGCTTTTGAGATTTCATTTTGCTGTTTTATATAAGGGGCGTATCATCTTAGACTTCTAGGTTTGTCACCAGTAGTTAGAATACAGACAAAGATACCTGTCTACAGAAGCAATTTTAGAGCCAAGCCAACTAGATGCTTTGAATCATCTCTTGCAAACCACAGCTATCATCCCAGTCCCGCAGGATCTGGAGACGGCAAGCCATTTACTCAGCATATTCAAAAGGCTGGCTTTCATCCAGGATTTTCATCCAGGATCCAGCAAATGTAAATTGCTCTCTGAGCACCAAACTTTTGCTTGAATCCCAAGTCAGTGGTTCATATGGCAATATAGGAAAATGTCTCTGTCGTATGGACCTTCAGGATGCCTATCTGCAGATCCTTGCTCTTCTACCACTTATTTCTATTGCTTCGCCAACCTGGGACAAAAATGTTAATACTAGGCCTTACAATTTGGTTTACCCTCAAATCCCAAACCTTTATTCAGGTTATGATACTCAGGAAAGGCGGTTTCATAAACTTTTCTAGGCTTATCTTGACTGGCCAGGTACATATTACTGTGAGCATACCGTGTACACACTCTGAACCAGGTTCTGCAGCTTGTGCATCTTCTGTGATCCCATGTTGTGTTACTGCAGACCCTTGGGTCTCCAATCACAAGCCTGGATGTTGATTTTCCTAGTCACATTGGGCCTCTTCAACACCTGTCTATTGGAAAATGCAGTCAAAGAACTGAGTTCCTAAGGACACCACCACAAATTGGAATCTTCTTAAGAAGTTGCTCATCCCCAAAAGTTGCTCAAAGGGATGTCCTTTCATCCCCTTGACTGCCTGTAATCATGGATGTCCGCCTATACAAGTAGGGAGCTTTTGTGGGAAAGGCTGTAGGCAGTGGTCATTCATGGGGGAAGTTGTCCATCAACCATCTGGAAGAGGGAGTTAGCTCTTGTAGTTGAGGTTTTAGACTGAAGCATGTATTTCAGTAGAACAAGACCACAGTTGTATACATTCTCCAGTCAGGGGTTATGAACTAAGATGTCTATTTCAGTGGCTAGCTGCAACGTGTTGCATCAGAAATTCAAAAAAGCACTCTTGCTCAATGGGGAGGAAGGCGGCCTCCAAGGACGAGGTGCATCTGGTTCTCTCTTTCTGAATAGACCTCTGTGAATAACTCTTTTATTTAGTGGTGGGAAAAGAAATTTCAAATTCCTTCAAAGGCTGTTAGGACAGTGCTTAGCTTTGTCATAATTAGAGAGCATCCTTGTTAAAGATCTGCAAGGCAGCTGCTTTGGGTTGAATGCACAATATTGCAGAATGCAGTGGATGGGATGCTATAGTTGAGCAGAAGGCTGCTTCAGGAGCCTGTAAGGCAGTAAACCCAGCCTAAAACATTAGAATGGATTGAGGAGGTCTGGACTAGTATACAATAATAAGGGGAAAAGAAGATTTTTGTTTTTTAAAGTTTTCATGAGTCTAAATACACTTCTGTCAAATTTAGCCTAACTCAGGACCCCCCTTGGATCACTCTGGCTTGTCCAGTGGTGATTGCAAGTTTTTCTTTGCTGCCCTACAGTAGACTTGCTGCTTTAAAGTTCACATACTTGGTTTCCATCTGCTAACAGGAGAGAAAGTTTGCATACATTTGGACCTATATTCAAAAACTCTGAGAACATAAATAGATGCCAACTGTATACATGCAAACTACTGCTGTTGATTTCATTTTTAATGTAATGAAAACTCTAATATTAAGGCTTATAAAATTGTTCAGTGCCAACATTTTAAGTTTGTTAAACTACTGTACCTGATAACTAATTTACCAGGCTTCTGGCTCCCCAGCCATCACCTCTCCTGGGTGGAGACCCTAGTTGTCCCTCCTGATGGGGTGTTTACAGGCTGTGTGGTTCCCTGCCTACACTGTGAATTTCCCAGCAATCAGGCTGCCTAAGCAGACCTGCTTGGCTTCTCTTAGAGGCTATAAACAGCATAACTGCCAGCAGTTAAGTAACCACATAGCTCTTTCTAAGGCCTGGTCTACACTGGGGGCGGGGGGTTGATCTAAGATACACAACTTTCTGGGGGGGATAGCTCAGTGGTTTGAGCATTGGCCTGCTAAACCCAGGGTTGTGAGTTCAATCCATGAGGGGGCCATTTAGGGATCTGGGGCAAAAATCTGTCTGGGGATTGGTCCTGCTTTGAGCAGGGGGTTGGACTAGATGACCTCCTGAGGTCCCTTCCAACCATGATATTCTATGAAATCTATGAAACTTCAGCTACGAGAATAGCGTAGCTGAAGTCGACGTACCTTAGATCGACTTAGAATCACTTACTTTGCATCTTCGCAGCGTGGGAATGACGGCCACTGCTCCTCTGTCGACTTTGCTTCCGCCTCTCGCCGAGCTGGAGTTCAGCAGTCAACGGGAGAGTGATCGGGGATCGATTTATCGCGTCTACGCTACACGCGATAAATCAACCCCCGATAGATCAATTGCTACCTGCCGATTCGGTGGGTAGCATAGACGTTTATTCTTATTCTTAAGGTAAAAGCATTACAGTGAAAACATATTAAAATCGATAAAAGAATCTATGCACGTGCTAATAAGCTTGCCAGAGATCATCCCAACCCTACAAAGGTCTCTGACAGGTGAACAGTCCTTCAAACCCCATGAAGGGGCTTTCCTGTGATTACAAGTTCATAACAGCTGTTAGCTCAGAAGAAGCCCATGCATGAATCTGAGAGTCACTCTTCTATTCAGTTTGAGCCTTTGATCTGGGATTACTTAATTCGTAGACAATGGGTTTCTCCTCAGGGCTTCTCCTCAGGGCGTAGCTTCAAAAGGCTGGATTTTTGCATACACCTCCCTCTAGAGATTTCCTGGGAAACTCACTTAACTTTAAAAGTTCACATAGTTTCAAATAGTCCTTTGAAGCTCATAACTCTTTTTTGGATTTACATTAGTCAGGTCTTGTCCCTAGAGATGATACATACAATAATACATAAACATTTCCATTTTTAGTACAGTGAACTTCTAAAATACTTAAACTTCAGTAAGGTATAACTGAATTCAGTGAGGCTTATCCAGGATATTGCAGGAAATTTCTAAATCTGCCATGGTATGTAGTGTAGGGCCCTGTGAAATCTGTGTTAACAAGAACCTGGACGGAATCATTGAATCAAAACATTAACGTGGAACCCTGCTCTCCCTGGCACTAGGACTGCAGTGTCAAGCAGGGCGGGCTGCACAGCTGAGCTAGAGTCAAGCTGCTCCATATTGAGAGCCTCCTGATCTGCTGTGCTATGCAGCGCTGAGGAGGAGGGCTGGGGGCTGATGTTGGAGTGTCCCCCTCCTCCCGCCTGTGTACCTGGTCTGCACTGAGCTGGGATTGCAGGGGGTGGGGGTAGGGAGGCACCTGTCTGTGCACCAGCCTCTGCCTCAGTAGCAGTTGCTGCCAGCTGCTGTCTGAACAAGTGTTCAGGCTGGTGAGATCTGTGCTTAAAGAGACTCTCTCTTTTCCCCTCAACACACATTCTGTCTGTCTGTCTCCTCACACACACACACACACACTTCTATATGTTACTTTTACTGTATATCTGCAGAATGATTTGTTTAAATTGTTGGATTTTTTTGTAAAATCAGTTTTTCCCATTGCAATGCAATTCTGATTATTTTTATGCATTTAAGGTAAGGCTACTTATTGTCAACATATCAAACAATTTTGATTAAAAAAAAAAACATAAAGATGGAATTTTTATGTTAATGGAAAAAACAAAATCAGAAAATAATAAATCTGAAAAGTCAGAATAATAAAACTGATTCCATAGGGCC